GTCCCACTGTTTCCACACTTCCCTTGTACCAAATTTAAAGCAAGCTCAGTCTTTCATTGGTTCATGAAGTTGATCCTAATTATTATACAGTCACTAGATTATTAGGTCTGATGCAAAGGAAGCAGCAGAAACACGCAGCTGGAAACTGGATACACAGCAAGATCAGGTTAAGAATAAGAAATTGCACCCTTACAGTTAGTACGCGGGAAAAATTTGCAGAATGACAAATAAAAGAGAGGCAAAAAGACAAGAGGACCAAGGCACAAACCCTCTGGAGCTCCACAGAGGGCTGGACGATGACTCTCAATAGGACATACTGAAGCGCTTCAAGAAGAGAGATAGGAAACAGGAGAACATAGAACTAGGAGATAGGGCAGGGCAAAAATTTAAAGAAAGATATGTCTGACTGCACTGGAGATGATTCTTCACTCAGCGAAGAGCTTGATGTGAGCAATTTCAGTTGCTGACAGGAGGAGAAACACCTCCTTCATGGTTTTTAATTCCATACCTTCATGGAATTCAGAGATGAAATAAATTATGAAGGTATTCAGAGAGTCAGCTGTTTAGAATACCTTCTTTTCCTTTCCCCAGTGGCAAAAGAAACTATAAGATATATGAAGAGAAGAGAAAAAAAAAAAAAAAAGGGGTCAAGACTGAGAAATTGCAGGCAGGTATTTGGGAGGAGATGATAATGAATGCTCTTTACACTCTAAGAAAGGGTACAGGACAAATCATATCAGTAAGGTATTTCCAGTCCACTCTGACCAGTCAATGAAATGCTTAGGTGAAAGTGAAGGTGAAAGTTTTATGGTAAGTCACAACCATGAACCAAAACTGCAGTGTGGAGCAAGACATGAGTGATGACCTTCAGAGTTAAGAATTAAGTAGTTTGAAGAACACTGCCACAAAAGATAAGGAAGACTGTGAAGTAAGAAAAAGAAACAAGCCCAAAACAGGCACAAGAGCTGAGGCAGAAGAGGTTGATAGTGACTGATGGTGTTATTCAACTGAAAGGAAAGGGGAGAAGGGGAGGAGAAGACAGATGCTTTTGTTCCACTTCTTTTGATTTGAGGCACGATAAGTGGAAAATGAAATTTCAAAAATAAAAGACAGTTGTAGAGGTCATCTATCATATGAAGGAATTGAAAAGCCAGAGTGAGGTCATGGCTGGATTTAGTCTCCCTGAAGATGAAACTGATCTCAAGAGATGCAAAAGGATGATGGCATGAAAAGAAACAGGCCATTTAAAAATGATGACTTGATGGAGGCAGTGGAAGCTGATGATCCTCAACAGACAGCTAACACTTGGAGAAGGATGTTGTTGAGGTCCTAAACTAGAGCAGACAGCAGGAGAGTGGGACAGAAAGAAGTAAAACAGGTAGTAGGGAGTGCATAGGGTAAAGGTAACCAGGAAGGAAATATGGAAACATATGTAGGAGTGGAAGACAGCACATACTCTATGATGCAGAAGAAGATGAGAGCCTAGACGTATGCAGCAAGGGGACAAGAACACAAAAACAAATGCAGTGGATGAAAAGACTCCAATACTCAGGCTACAATATTGATTCCGAAAAGACTGGGACACTGATGAAGAGAGAGAGAGAGAGGGACGAGAAGGTGTACCAGTTCCTGACTAAGGTGGTACTCTTAGTCAGTACCCAAGAGTAACTAAGAGCCTCATTGACCAAGACAACTAAGACACCTTTCTGTTCCTGATGAAAAATCCTGCTCCATGGCTACTCTAAGATAACTAGGGTTGACAACTCTAACTTTCTTCCCAGCAAAGACAAATGGCATCACCATAGAGATGCTGACAATTACACTTTAACTTTCTTCTTTGCTCTGTCAAGAAATGATAATTCTCATATAGAAGTTTCTTTGAAATAGAGCTATATTATTTCAAATGCTTCAATGAAACACTCAATGTCATTCTTCAGCCGTATCTAGGTACCAGACTCGATGAAACAACTGATAAGGACTATGTCAAACCTCAATATTTTTTAGGCTCCTCAAAAGCACAAGAGCTTACCAGTGCACTACAAAATCTGAAATTTTAATTCCATAAAATAGACGTTACCATTATAGACATATTTACCCAAAAGCAAGACTTTCATCAGCTACTCACCCCTCCACAAGAGTTCTATTGGCCAAGCGTATGCAGTGCTCCCAAAGGATGTTGGAGACTGGCAGTGGAATACGGACTCTCTTAGACACCTCATTCAACCTTCTGTTATAGTCTTCAAATTCCTGATGAAACATGAAAAATCATTCTTCCTTTATCATAAAAGGGATCATACTCTATAGATCTCTAGCAACAACAACAATGAATTAGGAATGCACAAGAAAGAGAGCACTGAAAAATAAGCTTAAAGCAGAGAAGTTTAGAAGACACAGACTGTAAAGATAAGCTTAATGTGTAAAGTAGAAAGCATACCACTTTCTAGCATATCATTCATAACATTACCTCAGTACTGTTTTTTAAAAAGGAAATACTATTCTGTTCCCCAGAGGTGTAGTTCTCTGTCAAACTGACACCTCTGAAAATTAACCAAGTAGCTAATCCTTCAAATGCCATTTTCATTGCCTCACTCCCTAAACTCATCTTTAACTTTTTCAAAGCCAATATACAGCCACTGAAGAAAACCCAGTGATAAACTCTTTATCCCTCTAAATACCTGCCCCATCAGCTTTCAAAGAAAAACTCAGAAATAGTGTGACCACTTTTCATTCAACTCTTCTCATTAAATAGTTCCCTGGTGCTTCCAAAGGAGCTGAGAGTACCCACTGAAAAGAATCCAAATCATACAGTTCAGGAGCATACTGCAGTGCTAGGTAACAGGTCAGGTTGAGGGAAGGCACCTGTTTCAATGTGAAACATCAATGGCGTGGATAGATTTAAGCTGTTGCTATGAGTGACAAACTAGTCATAACTGAATGTAATTACTGCTACAATGATTTTGTGACTTATATAAAGTGAAAGAGAAGTCTGCTGACAGTGACTAACACCTCTATAATTTAAAAAAAAGTATCAAGTGACTTAATATAAAGCAGACCTTGATAATGAACTGCTTTGTGTAACCAGCAAAAGCAGTTTGTACTGCAGCCTCTTACAACCAGACTTGTCCGACAACGTGCTTTCAGTCCAAGGCTGTTAATCAAGTCAGTTTTTTCCTCTTTTATTTTTTTCTCTCCTTTTTTCCCCTCCATCAAAAAATCAATAAGTCAAGAAAATAATCACTCAGAAGGGAATCTCAGTATGCAATTTAACCCAGTATCTTACCAAATAATTGGTGTTCAACACAAATTTTCTGAAAGAGGAGTTTGGCAACAAGAAGCAGAGTACCACAATGCTGTGCATTAACTGGCATACTACTCACTCTTCTGAAGATGAAGATGTCTATCACTCCATATTAATTAAATTCTTGAACAATCTTCTTTCCCCAATTTATCTGCTTCCATATATACTATGACTGAGTAGAGAATGTTGCATGTGCGTGCACATGACTAAACTTTGTTGGTTATTATATTAAACATTTTGCTTACATCTGACATTCCTGGAGGCCCAGGGCAAACAGGAAAACACCAATTGCTTAGTAGTAAACCAAAAGCTTCTGTAGCAACTATTATAAGCTATATAATGTAGAGGCCAGAAATACTTTTACATGGTATTAGCCCCAATTGTCCTGAAGCAAATTTATCAGAAGTTGCACACTCACAAAAAGAAAAAGTTCTCTTGCAGAGACCAAATGTAACTACAAACTGATTTTAAAAAGCCATAGCAGCATAAAGAAAGGTAATCACAAGGATTCAGACAGATTCAGTGCAATGATATATCTTCTATCAGATTCTCCCTTCTTTACATTGATTTTTTTTAAACAGAGAATGGCTACAAAGTACAAAGGTATAATCAAAACTGTTATTCAACACAGATGCGCAACTTTTTCTGTGATACTTCACATATCTTTAAAATAAAATTTTCAGTTTCTCTGTAAGAATTAGTATAATTTTACCACTGCCAGAACGTCCTTCTAAAGACCTTTAGAAACATAATTCAGGCATATATAAAAGTATGAGAGAAGGATTATCCCAAAAACTGATTCTGTATGCCATAAGACACAGCAGTTGTATAGCCACTTCTACTGAATGCAATTGAGAAGTTTGGGGAATAACTTCCCTTTCACCTTATTTTTCAAATGCTAACTTCTAAATATAGCAAATTCAATCAGAAGTGCACAATCATGATCTATGCTGGTTTGACCTATAGCCCCTATGACATATCTCAAAGACAACCAATAAAATTTTGCAGACCCGCAAACAGCCTTTGTTAAAAAGCCACTATCCTAGGTCACTGTATTTTCCACAATGTTACTCCATTTGCTACGTATTTATCTGCCATTCAAGACTTAGATGTGAAACTCATTAAACTTTTGTGGTCACTTTCACCCACCATGTAGTCAAAAAATCAGCACTGAAAACTAGCTAATTCTGCTAGCAGAAAGAATTATGAAAATTCTGGACAGCTCTCCTTATAATAACTTACCAGTTGTCAGAATGCTGCATTGCTCTAACCATGCAACTTTAACAGTCTTAATGAAGTATCACAATAATTTAATGTTTATATAAACTTTAGCAACCTGTTTCCCAGAAAGTATTCACCTTCAAGAGAGCATCTACATATACATTGTGTTGTGACATGATTTCCTTCACATCCCATTTCACATTAGCCATGAGAAGCAGCATTTGTTCATAATCAATGGCTTTAGCAGCAACAATCCAATAAACTGGTTTACGTAGTTCACTAGCAGTTGACACTGTCTGAAACAAAAGATACATAAAATTAAATTCAGTAAATTTCTGGCTAATAAGAGCTATATATACCTATGTTGTACAAGTATTTTCACCATATTGTACAATTTCCAAATCTTCTGCTAAAAATCAGCTGTGAATTATACAATTCTGACCTGAGAATAGAACTGCTGAAGAAAAGGCTTCTTGGCAGCTGGCATCACCGCATCAAGATGAGGCTGAAGAAATTCAAACTGCTCAGCCAGAAATACCCTTTGAAAGTAAAGAAAATTTACTGTGAACTGAATGAAGTATTTGGCATGTCTCTGTAAAACTTCTCTGTACAGTTAACATATTTTACAATAATGATATGTAACCTTGGAAAATTAAATCCTGAAAACCATACCAGTTTCATGCTAGTATATCAACAAGTATTCTCAATTCTGACAATTTTAAAATATGTTTGCAAGCAAGAAGATACTTGAATAAAGAGACTAAGGCTTGAATATTAACAATTTGTATTTCTGTTTTACTCAGCATATACTGCAAAAGTCTGATCTAAAGTCTACTAAAGTCAGTGGACAAGTGTCCTGTAATTTCCATATGGCAGGACAGTCAACATGAATAAATACATGTCAGAATTCCAAAATAACATTCCCAATTACTTATATACTAGTGAATTTTTAAAAGACAGAATATGAGATCAAATTCTTTGACAGAGGTAGGATTTGTTAATAACAACATAACAAAGAAATACATTTATAACTAAGCATAAATGTATGCAAAAAACCCCAATCAGCTCTTTTGAAAATACATTTTTAAAATTAACTTCTAATCTTTAAATGTCATCTCATGTGGGGAAAAAAAATGTTCCCATCTGACTCAGTTATTATTCTGACCACTCACTTAGTAAGAGTTTCATGTTACTTGCTTGTTAGAATCTCTTCTTCACAGGTAAACTTCCACCCATTGCAAAGAACGTTGCAATTCAAGCCAAATCTATATGAATTAAGCAGTTTTGAGGCTCAGCCACCAGCATTTGAGTACTTAATATATGGCTTAAATGAACCATACAGATTAAAGAGTCCCATTAGCCTCTTTAAAATTAAACCTTTTTCCTGTCAGATTTGGTCTTGTACTGTCACAAATCACTGGACCAGCTGCAGTAAAGTTTAATTGCATGTGCTTGCAGGTGGTTAGACCACATGGGTAGGTCCCAGTGCCTTTCATTAAGAAATTACCTCTCTCACTTATATTTAAAATCACATCGAGAAGCAGAAATTTTTGACCTCTCAAGAACGTTTTGGCTTGTAATCACTATCTCTTAAACAAGCCACAGCCACCAGTCACCACAAAACACAGTGTACAGTAAATAACCTACAAGGACTCTGTGGCCACCACTCTCTCTGCCAAACCATATAGCGAATTGCCAGATGTCAAAACTACGAGATGACTGAGATGTGGGCTTGGCACCTTCTCCTTTCTCTCTTCAGCAGCCGTGAGAGTTCCTGTGGGATCAGCAGAGACCTCCTAAAACAAAGAATTAAACAACAGAAAAACCATTAAAACAGCAAGAATGGCTCTAGCTGAGCAGTTTCAGATGACAGACAAGATGAAGGAATGTTTCTAAGATGCGATTTAAATCAATCCTGAAGCAAAAGACAACCACAGAGGTTTCTATTTGTGGTGTTCAAACAGGTGAAAAAAAAAATCACATCATGTAGATCAATATCTATCTCAGGAAAAAAAAAAGAAGACAGAGAACAAACTTCTTACTACACTTTAACACCGATACAGGCTTTAGCCCAACTGCCTACTGTGAGACTGACTTCTCACCCTTGGAGATAGTCTCTTCAACCTGACAGCAACCAAATAAGGAGACAAATCAAAGAAATATTACTTATGAATGGGTTTTATTGCTAATGTGAGCTGCAGCTAGCTTAGGTAAAATAAAAATGATGTTTTTAAACAAGTTATCATTCCATTAAAACTTCTATACTGCAGACATCTCAATTGTAGAATGCAAGGAAATATTCACAGCAGAGGAAAAGATCTGTAATAAGAAATAGGTTATACCAGTGCCCCGCTGCAAATTTATTTTTTTTTTAAAAGAGGGGGGGGAACACAAGGGAAAAAAAAAGCCACAAGAAAGACACAAGAAAACAAATGAAGAAAGGAAAAAAAAAAGTGGGGGGAAAAAGGGAAAATCTCTACATTGTAGGAATGTAAGTACAAGTTACAGCTAGAAGAGGACTCACAGAAGGAAGAAATTCCCAGAGCTATCATATTGGTCTGTAGGTATATAAATGGACACCCTCTGAAGCTTCGCTATTTGACAAAACCGTAACAGGACATGGAAATATAAACCTAGTTCTGGCTTTAGATTAATTACTTATACCATGCTTGCTGCTTACACACAGGCTATAAAAGTACAAGAAACGCTACAAGGCAAAGGTGATATAGAACCCAGAACTCATAAAAAAGATAGACATGATATGGCACTGATTTCTTAAGTAAGAGCCTCCCATGACCCTGGGACAGAAACTCTGTGGCCAGACAGGTGCTACAAGAAATCAGCCTGTTTGTATGGAATTAAAAGAAATCTGAGCAATAACACAGTGATAAAGTAGTGGTAAGAGTAATTTCTTCAAAAGCAGGATCAGGTGCACATGTCTGCTGTAAAGCAACCTATGCACACACAACCAATATGACAATAATACTTAAACATGACATTTATGGTTGGATTCAAAACAAATTAGCATAACTCTCAGATTGCTATAAAACTGTACAAAAATTAAGCCAAAACCATGATAATAAATAAAGCAGCTTTGCAGTTTGTTGGTTTTTCCCCCCAACTGGAAACAAAAATAGAGAGGAAATTGCAGTATAGTAACTAAAGAATCAGGAGCAGAAGGAAGAAATATATACTCAAGCTGACCACAACAGTCACCAGGAGTTTCTTGTAGGCTTCACAGCAGATAACAACTGTGAGGAGTGACATGAAATAGAATAATTGCTATGCACACATTTTTCAGACAGTTTTGCTTAAGAAGAAAAGGAAAGCAGTGAGCACTAGAAACACTGATGGAACTCAGTCATGGTCTAACTCATTCTAAGTATCAGGACTGAGACAACGAGAACATGCATTGTAGATCCTGAAAAGCCAAAAGAAAACGTACTGCACAGAGAATCAAGTGAAAAGGGGAAAAACAACAGGGAGGTTATTCTGGGAGCAAAATATCTGACATACCCATTGTGGTTACATTGCAGCAATTAAAGGCAGGGCAGGAGAAAACTGATTATGTCAAAATGTGTAAGGACTTGGTGAGAATTTAAGTGATAAAAAATGATCAAAATTTTGCTCCTATAAACAAAGCAGCATCAGAATGAGTTTACTGCTTGGACGAAAGCCAAGCTAAAAGTGACATTAAGAATGTAAGATAACGAGGAAGATAATAGTGTCCAAGCTGTCAAGAATAGTTTGAGGTGTGGGGGAATAAAAAGATCACAAGTTCCACTTGAACTATCTCAGATTTTAGTTGACAGTTGCCTCCTGTGGTGTGACAGCCCAACACAACAGGGAGCTGGATTTGTTAACTTAAGAAAGGCTCTTTCAGTTCTGCATTGCCCAAGGATGTCAAACACAAACAAAAATGGGCTACAGCAGATGGGATGAAGCACAGACTGGGAAAGTGGAGTTCTCACTATCAAGGGTGAGGAGAGTATATTCAAACTTCCAAAAAAAATTCTGTAATTGGTTACAGAAGCAGAAAGCAGACAAAACAGGGAGCCTTTGAGGATCCCCACAGAAATTCTGACATTAAAAACAAAGACTGCTGACTGAGCAATACCATCAGCACATCATTTGTACCACTAATAGTTCTCGCAGAAATAGATCAATGAGCAGAAGATAAAACTTCTAAAAGAAGCTTATGGTAAATGCTATCAGATACAGTTGCACTGAGCGTGGAATGATTATAAAGGCTAGTCACATCATGATGTTATTAGAAAAATGAAGTTTCTTTACTCTGATCTGTGTTACCATTCAGCAATTAAACTGGCCAGACATTTCACAATACAGTGAAGTTTGTGTTCTGCTGAGCCTACCAGAATGGATAAACAAAGCAAATGCCCTCCATATTTGCTAGAACTCATGTAACCTCTTTCAGGCAGCTCTGAAGATACCCACCTAGCACACCCACAAGTACAGTGCATACAGGCAATAACATTTAATCATCTGGGCATAACGGTCAATTCTTTAAAAATATTAACTGAGCCAAAGACACCATTGATTAAGTGACAAAATCTATTCTTTATCTGCCTTCTCTTCTTCTTTGTCACTTAATTTCATTCTCAAAAAAAAAAAAAAAAAAAGCTTTGAAATGTTTACATATGGTAAAAAACCAAACCTACAGCCCATCAAGTTCTCTATGCTTAGGAGGGACAGTGAGACACAGAGCTGGGGGAAGAGTATCAGTGGTAAAGATTTAAGCATCTTTGTTTCTTTCAAAGACTAGTTACAAATAATGTAAACAAAAAATACTATAAAGACTTAATTTTGTACTCATTGCACTTCAAAGTTGCCTCTCTCTTCAGTATTGAGATACATTTTAAGCAACCCTTTTTCTACCTGCCTGCTTCCCATGTAGATAAGTATCTTGTGAACTTTTTAAATTACAAAATCCTGTTGCACCTGAAGACACAAAATGTACATGAGACAACTGGTTAAATCAAAGACATTCTTGGGTTCAACCACAGAGTTGGTTCAAATATACCAGCCAAACATAGTATGAGCATTTCATTCTCCTGACTTGTTCTAAAAACCAGGCACCACAAAAGCATGTTGACAGCAAAAAGGAAGCGCAAGGAAACAGCCGGTGTGCAATACCCCAAAAAACACAAGATCATTCTGAGGGGGTTTCAGTGATGCCTGTGTTTTTTCCTCCAGCCTTCATTAACAGAAATGATCAAATGACTGAAAGCAGCAATAAGGGGGCAAAACATTCAGGCTGGAACACAAAAAAAGGCTACAGACTATTTAAAGAAATCGGATGTTTTGCAATGAACCAGACTTGTTAAACTTAACCCTTCAAGTAACTTAAGAAAATCTGCAAGACAATCTCTGTTGTGAGACATTCCCTTTGAGTACCCATGGAGAAGATGTAAAGCCCCATAGAACTGAAACTGGGCAACATGATGCCAGTCTCAAGAAGGAGGAAGAGAAGGAGAAGGAGGAAAGTAGAAGCCAGGAAATTAAATAGCAGCTACCCAATGTTAATTTCAATAAATGTCAAGTTACATCGAGAACATATTGCAACACCCAGCATCAAGCATGCAGACACCAATAGGAAAGCAGACCAAACTTCCTTAGCTCTCCTCTGCATCAGAGTAGCAGGTCTTGCCAGTACAGCAGAATTGTGATATATCTAAAACATATTACAGCCCACATAACATCCTTGTAAGCAAACTGGGCAAAATAATTTCAAGGTACACGTGGAGCTGATGCAAGCTACAAGATGCTTTTCTCCCTCCTTGCAAAACAATTATCTGAATGATAAACAAGCAAATTAACTGTAGCAGGCACAGCTGTACAGATTAACCAGTATTCCACATAAACACCGTATAGTGTGTCTTACCTATTCAGTTTTCTCTAGTCTTAGTCAAACTCCCTCATGCTGTCATAGGAAAAGAACAGTGTCTTCCAATGCTACACATGATTAGCATACACAACTAGCAATTATTTATAAAAGCTGTTTTGCTATAAAGGCCTGAAAATATCAAGATACAGAAGTGCTAAAGCAGGCTTATGACTGCTTTACCTGTTTAAGGGTTACTACTAACAGTAGTATGAGCTATAGTGTGTGTTTTGGGAAATATCTTAATGTAAGATCTCTTTGAATTAAATTTCATCTGTGTTTTTACAACAATAACAAATATTATCAAATAACAGGTATCAAATAAGTGTGATATTGTTTAATTGTTGGGTATTTTACTTTAGCATTTAATTGTTTACTCCCAAGAATAAATTCTTTCATGAATAGGAAGGGAAAAAAAAAATCTGTGTGAGGAACAAGCCTCTCCTTCAATCTCTTCCTCCAAAAAAATGTCTTCTGTAACATTTCAATAATTTGGTTGAACCCAGTGGCAACCCTCTGTTAGATACGCTTCCCATCTTAGTGGGAAGAAGAGACTATAAACTGATTACCTAAATCAGAAGTATAAACTACTTAAGCTAATTATCTAAGTCAAAAGTTTGACATGCAATTTGCAAGACAGACACTTTTAAGTGACCTGATTTCATCATGAGCTCAGAAATATGTATTTATTTCAGTTATCCAGCAGAACTTATGACCAAAATAACTGACGAGCTGTCATTTACGGTGGAGACAGTTGACAGTTAATTATAATAATCCACTTTCACTAACTTTAAACAAAAACTGATAAACTCCACAACTTGTCCCCAGCACAGAGAGTTCTGCAGACCGCACTAATAATCAATAATCTTTCATAACTGAGCTTCTCCTGACCTA